TCTGAAAATGATCTGTGAACATTTCAAGGTGAACGGAACAAAGGAATGATCCAAAACTGCTTGGAACAACCCATTCAGAACCATCCAGTGTGTGTGTTCAGTTTTAAATATTCGCTTTCGTGTTTGTTTCTGTGGTCAGAACAAGCCAGTTCGAGGTCACTGTGCTTTCCTTTCTGTTGACGGTGTCACATAGACAAAGTGAACCGAAACCATTTAGTTACTGCAGTCCAATCCCACAGAACCAACACACCATGTTTTACGTTCATTCTCTCATCTCGTGTGCTTTTATTTCCTTTTTCACCTCTTTTACATTTATAACCACACATTGAAGTTGTGGTGTAGAGCTGTGCACACTGGTGCAGGACCTTTTTAATAGGACTAAGATGTTATTTAAGCTTAAATGTGTTTTTTTTGTTTTTTTTGGTTTGTCTGTTCTGATTTTATAACGAAACTTTAAGATCTAATTGTAATTTTGTGTGTGTATATATATATATATATATATATATATATATATATGTATATCGCTGCTGTCGAAACAAAACCTCATATCTCCAAAATGGTAACTTTGCAGGAGAAGGAAAAAACATACTTTACTTTTAATGTAAGTCAATGGAACCAGACGTCTTTCCAAGTAATTTTGAGCCGTTTCTCTTGGTCCATTCTTCATGAAATTCATACACAATGTAAAGGCCAACAGGCATTTTCAAAATATGTCAAAAACTGAAAAACGAGGTTTTATTTCCGACAGCAGCGATATACATATTTATGTATGGGTTAATATGAATGATTATATTGCTGTTGGTTTTTTTATAGCTTAAGCTGTTTTCTGTCTCTTTATGCTTTCTTTGTGTCGATGTGTACAAGTAAGCCTAGCATGGAGTCCCCTTGAGGAGAACAGTGCTCTATTTGAATGGCCACAAAAATACACTGTATGTCCAGAAGTCTGTAGACACCAGTGTTTCTTCTGCAATGAAGGATATTAATAGTGAGTTTGCCCCCCCTTTGCTGCAATAACAACGTCTGCTCTTCTGGAAAGGCTTTACACCGGATGTTGAACATTGCTGTGAGGATTTGATTGAGCATTATTGAGGTCAGGTACTGATGTTGAATGGTCAGTTCTGGATCTCCAGCTCATCCCAAAGGTATTGAATGGAGCTCCATCACTGCAGAGAACACAGTTGCACTGCTCCACAGCCCAATGCTGAGGGGGCTTTATACCCCTCTAGCCCCCACTTGCTATTGAGCACTGTGACCTTGGCTGCTCCAGGGCATCCCATTCTGTCAGTCAGTGCATTAACTTAGTTAAATTCGCTGATTATAAGTGGTGTCTGGATGCTTTTGGGACATTACTGTCTTTTGGATGTAATTTGTGACCATTCTATTCCTCTTGTCATTATAATGGAGCACCACTAGAGGGGGCTACAACACTGCTCTTGTACTCTAGAACTGACTTAGTGAACATTTTCCTTCTGACACTGAAGGGAAATTTGCAGCTGGTGCTTTCAAAAGCATCACTAAGGCCATGTGTCCAGAACATGAGCTGTAGAATGTGTCTATGCTAGCATTGTAGTCTGCGCTACAGCCCTGTTCAAAAGTTTGGAATCAATATAAACAACAATTCGAAACCAGTTTGGTTTCAGATGAAAGTGTCAGCTGAATTCAGTATTTGAGTTCTGTGCAGTTTCACTGCTTGCAAATCATTAGGATGCTTTAAAAGAGTAATAGGTCCTCAAGAAGACGTGTCCAGGATGAAGATCCTTAAATTAGTAAACACTAATAATTACAGTATGTATTAAAGCAGTAGAACACGAGAGGGAGTATTTTAATTGCATATGACATCACGGCTGTGATTTGGTCACAGGCACGAGCTGAAGGCTGGTACAGTAGATCGTCACAGCCGCAGTAAGACACGAAATCGAGTACTCTATTGCTTTTATACAACAATACTGCAAAATAAAGCAAAGAAGCCCCAGATATTATATCAAACATGCTTTAATATTGGCAAATCCTTCCACCACAAAAAGTAGTACGCTTTTATTCTTATGAATAGCGCCAGAAAATATTGCAATATCAGGTTCAGCTCAGCCTTTTCAGTATGAATGCAGTTTAGTTCCAGTCTGTAAAGCAGTTTCTGCCCATCTTGATTGTTGGCTTGTATGAAAGCCCATTCAGGCCTCCTCTGTTTGTGGCAGCAGTATGTCAAAATATTAACTTAGTATCTTGAAATAGTCGCTTGAAATATTGACTTTCTGTGTCAGCTTAATTACTGATGTCCTCCGAATATGACTTAGTTTGTCAAAATAATGACTTTGTATCTCATAATAATGACTTGTTAACCTCAAATGATGTTACTGAGATTTAGTCACTCATTATTTCGTCATAGTATCTCGAAATCTCAAAGAAGTATGGTTATTTTGAGACACTAAGTCAATTTTTTGATACACTGCTTCCACAAACGTGGAGCAAAAGTGATGTTTTCCTCCTTGAAGAATCCCAAACCAGGGAACCAGCCGTACGTCTGTGAGTGAGAAGTGAAGTGTATTTCCTTGCCCGCAGGTTCCGCATACCTAACCAGCCCATAAAACAATGGACTGACGCCAAGATTAGACCCAGCTTATACATGACAAATGACAGGTGTGACGGACGTGATCATATAAGGAAAACAAATATAGGCAGCCTAAATACAACTTCAGCACATTCACACACAATACTGCATATAATAATAATAACACAGCACTAAACACATTACACAACAATACACTCCTTCATCCTCCAGCTGGCAGGAATGGGCCTCCATAGACTGTATTCTGTTGTGTGTCTGGTTAATTGCAGTTTGTTTTTGGTTCATTCCAGCTGCCATCCGAAAACTTATTCAACCATAGGTTCTAAATTTGCTTTCCTGCGGTCACTCTCTTCTTCAGAATCTGACCAAACAGGCTGCAGGTCATATATAGGCTTATAGAAGTTAGCAAATGTGTTCATTTTCTGTTTTTGTTTGTGCTGAAGAAGAAAATTAGTAACGGTTCGCTGCAGCGAGTCATTACTTAGGAACCGGAGAACCGGAGAAGAAGTGTTGTATGATTCACAGTGTATAATAACTTAATATATATAAAAATATAGAATAAAACACCCAAAATACCTTGTAGTGTTTAGTCTATGTAATACACATTGTAGTATTGAGTTATTGTTGTATAGAAAGTAACCCGAATTATAACACGTGACTCCAAACTTTTGAATGGTAGTTTAATGACTTTCCTTTTCTTTAAAAAAGACGGTTCTTCGAGGGTTCTTTAGTTGAGACAGTGGTTCTATATAGAACCATGAACATTCAAAGAGCTGTTTGCATGCTTGCATGGTGAAACGGTTCTTCGGATTGATGGAGGATGTCTTGTCTATGGTTCTATCTAGCACCTTTTTGTAAACGGCTCTTCTGCTTGTTCTATATAGGAACCCTTTTCAGAAAGGTTCTAGATAGAACCATACCCAACACTCTCCTTTAATCTGAAGACCCTTTTTACCATGCAGAGAAGCCTTTAAGCGTGCAAATAGTTGTTTGAGTGTTCATGGTTCTGCATAGAATCATTGTCTTTACTAAAGAACCCTTGAAGAACCTTCTTTTTTTAAGAGTGGATTTGTTTACCTCTGTGAAAGACATTAATAACACAGTTGCCTCCTCCTGTTACGTTTAGCTGCAGCGTTAAGCGAGTCGTTACTTGGGAACCGGTGAACTAGGTGTTCTATAATTTACAGTGTTTAATTCTTCGAGGGTTCTTTAGTTAAGACAGTGGTTCTATATAGAACCATGAACATTCAAAGAACTATTTGCATGCTTAAATGGTTCTTTGCATGGTGAAACTGTTCTTCAGATTGATGAAGGATGTCTTGTCTATGGTTCTATCTAGCATCTTTTTGAAAAGGGTTCTTCTTTTGCTTTAAGCTTGACTTTGAAACAAGAGCAGAACCCTTTTTGGTGCTGTATAGGAACCCTTTTCAAAAAGGTTCTAGATAGAACCATATCCAACACTCTCCTTTAATCTGAAGACCCTTTTCACCATGCAGAGAACCCTTTAAGCGTGCAAGTAGTTCTTTGAGTGTTCATGGTTCTGCACAGAACCACCGTCTTTGCTAAAGAACCCTTGAAGAACCGTCTTTTTTTTTAAAAGTGTGGATTTGTTTACGTCTGTGAAAGACATCAATAGCACAATTGCATCCTCCTGTTGCGGTTAGCTGCAGCGTGAGTCGTTACTTGGGAACCGGTGAACTAGGTGTTCTATAATTTACAGTGTATAATAACTTATTAATATAGAATAAAGCACCTAAAATACCTTGTGGTGTTTAGTTTATGTAATAAACATTGTATGACTTATTATTGTATAGAAAGTAACACATTATAGAAAGCGATTCCAAACTTTTGAATGGTAGTCTATATTGAACCATGATCACTCAAAGGACCATTTGCATGCTTAAATGGTTCTTTGCATGGTGAAACGGTTCTTCAGATTGATGGAGGATATCTTGTCTATGGTTCCTATATAGCACATTTTGAAAAGGGTTCTTCTGCTGTTTTAAGCTTGACTATGTAACGATAGCAGAACCCATTTTGGTGCTATATAGAACCATATTCAACACTCTCCTTTAATCTGAGGAACCGTTTCACCATGCAGAGAACCCATTAAGCATGCAAATGGCTCTGAGTGTTCATGGTTCTGCACAGAAAGAACGCTTGAAGAACCGTCTCTTAAGAGTGTGGATTTGTTTACCTCTGTGAAAGACATTAATAGCACAGTTGCCTCCCTCTGTTTGAGATTATTGTTATTATTATTTCTATTATTATTATTATTATTGATAAAGCAGTTCTGTCTGTGCTTTTCCTGCTGCTGTGAGTTCAGTACCATGTCCGTTTGAATACAGCCAATAAAAAGCAAAGCTGAACTGGACACATTTGAATGTTTCTTCTTCCTATATTTTGAACTTCCTTTTTTTCTTATTCACTGTTTATATGCAGCGTCATTGACTGCCATTCATTTTGGTGCCGGATAAGCTCTTGTATGTATCTAGATTTGCATTTGGATGTGAAAGAGATCTCGTAAGCTTTGGAATTAAGCATATATGATGAGGGATAATGATGATCGATTAATTGCTGTAGCTTAAAATAATGATGATCGATTAATTGCTGTAGCTTAAAATACTAAAAGTTGTCATATTGTGGAAGTGGGTTACTTAAAATGAAACTGCGGTGTGTGTATCATTCTCTGCCTCTCTCTCTCTCTCTCTCTGTTTCTCTCCTTGTATAGAGAAGGCGCCTTGACTTTGCCGCAGACTTCCTCATTGCACATAAAGAAAGGCTTTTTGACCGAGGTGTGCTGCCTTAGACGACGCATTCGAGCTGGTCTGAAGAAGCCGTACCTGAGCTAGAGGCAGAGGAGCCCAAAGAATCAGGCTAGGTAGGCCAGGCCAGCAGAAAGGAGGCAGAGAGAGAGAGAGAGAGAGGAGGGCAGAAGCAAGAAAGAACTTGTTCGGAGAGGTAGGAGGGGGGAAAAAAAAAAGCAAGAACAAACGAGAGAGAGAGAAAAGATCCGTAAAGGAAGTGAGGAAGTGAGGTAGGCAGAATGAGAGAGAGGCTACGTTGAGGGGCTAACGAGAGGAAAATGTACTGTACACATGTGTGAGAGTGTGTTTGGGTGAGTGAGAGAGCATGTGTGTGTGTGAGTGTGTGTGTGTGCGTGGTTAGATACAGAGTGACCTTTTCCTCATTAGAAGAATGTCTCTGAAGCTGCCTCGCAACTGGGACTTCACCACTCTCCGCAGTGAGACTGCCAGGATAGGTGAGTCGGTATATGTGTGTGCAGGTGCTGAGCCATGCTGTGTGTGCTGTTGGCTTTTGGCCTCCTTGGTCTGGTGTGTGTGTGTGTGTGTGTGTGTATATGTGCATGTGCCGGCATCCGAGACCACCTTTCACTTTAAGTGAAGGGTCATGAGAAGGAAAGGGTGCAACCAACTACTAAGACTGAACTTCTGGAGGTGTGAAATTCTGACTCTCTGCCAACGTGAAGTACAAACTCTTCATCCACTCTTAAAATGATGGTTCTTTTGGGGTTCTTCAGTATTAAAATGTAGGGTATGTTTAGTATTTAAAAAAGGGCTCTTTGAGTGTTTGCAGTGCTGTTTAGAACCATTTTCTTTACTAAAGAACCCTTGAAGAACCATCTCTTTAAGTGTGTTGAATGAGGAGGAAGTCAAAATTCAAAATGGCTAAAAAAGGTTAAAGAGAAAATATGTTTCCTAACAACCCAGATGTGGTAAACACCAAAACTGCCCCCATCAGATAAACAGCGCTTAAAGCTTTCATCTCTGAGAGAGAGGAGAAAATCAAGCTGCTTCAGATCTGAAAACATCCACAGGTGTTTCTGTCCATCCTTCCACTGTGAGAAGACGACTCAGTGCTATGGGTCTGAAAGGCTGTGTAGCTGATCAAGAAGAACCTCACTGAGAAAAGGAGACGGACACGTCAAAGAAGCTGAACGATGGACTGACCACCCCAGAGTCCAGACCTCAACATTACTGAATGTGTTTGATTACTTCAGAAAATCAACTTCTAAGCCTGAACTTTGGAGGTGTGTCTGCAGATTCTTTGAGAAACTGAAAGTGAGTCTCCAGAAAAGAATGGAAGCTAATAAAGGTAAATTTAGTTGTTGATGCTTTAAAGTTAAGGGTGGTCTCTCTTGCATGGCGCTGTATGTATCGTGTCATGCTGCCTGACTAACAGCTGTGTGGAGTAAGGATGGTGCAGATGTGCTCTGGATTTGCTCTGTTTGTAGACACAGTAGACACAGCTCCTGTGGCTCTGCTGTCCAGCTGTGCCGCCCACTAATGCCTGTTAGTGGCATTAGGGATATTAAACTGCATTAAAACAGTGCTTCAACATCTTTCGGCCTAATCTCTATCTGCTTTATATGTAGCGTGTGGTTGGTTACCATTGACAGTAAATAGCGTTCATATCCCTGACAAAAGACTCATAACACATTTATAACAGAATGCTGAAGTAGCTTCTCATTGGCTTCTACTGTAAGTGCAGGGAAATCTATTATAATTCTTACATGCATTGAAATTATTATCTACATTATGTGCTGCAGACACAACAGAGAGAGTTCAGGTTAAAAAATACTGGAATGTTCCTTTAATACAGGCTTATTATTCAGTAACTACAGGGACTTCAATACAAACTAATGGGGCTTTTCTTTGATAATAGAAGTGTGTAATAAAATCTTGGGCCTCCTGGCAGCCCTATGGCTTGCTAAGGGGTTAATCCGTAGGTCATTATTCAACTGCATGTTTTAGAACGTTATAACTGATTATGATACTATTTCATGTAGTGCATTGTTTTTTGGGGGTCTAAAATTATTGGGCTAGTTTTAAATGTAAAAATACATTGTCTGCTCATAGTTTCTCCGCTTACATGTACAAGTTCAGCATGTTTTTTTTAATAAATAAGTCTAAATTATCCAAAATAATCACGTCAGATTGGACTGAGGTGAAATTTGAGATTTTACGATGCGTTAAATCGAGTCATAAGGATAATTGTAATTGAATTGCGTCAAGGTTTGCATCCCTGCAACTTTTGCAACATGCTAGTTATGCATACATTTGTACGCAGAAGTTCAAAGTACATGTTTTATTAATGTTCTAAGTGAAAATAAGTGACCACATCCTCTACAGAGAACAAACTTCAGCACATTTTAATGCACGATCATTGTTGATTTGTGGAGAAAAAAACCTGTGCAAAAGTTATGGCATATTTAAGATGTTAAACTCAGCAAATAAATAGAAACTGTGCACTAAAATGAGCAGAAAATGCCGTATTTAAGTAATGTAATTTGACAGCGGTGCTCAGACTTTTGCATATGACTGTAAGGGCTCATCAAAGTACACAGAAGCCTCCAAAGTTCAGTCCTAGAAGTTGGTTTACCACTTCTTGGAATGGTTTAGTATTTTGGTTTTTTTTTATTTTTTGATAACACTTTGTTTGATTTGCTTATCGGGTTAAACTTTGCATGCTAAATGGAAACAGGTTGCTTTATGAGTGGAGATATTAGCAGTTACTGTTCTGCGAAATAGGCCCTCTCTAACCCTCTGTGTGCCTGCGGCTGCATCTTATCACTCTGATCCTGTGTTCCGCTACTGTTTCGAAAGCAATTTTTTTTTCAGAATGTAGATGCACCAACCTTCAAACAGGCACCTGACTGCACTTTTATTGGGTCATTGACAGCAGCAGAGAGTCAAAGAACTCCAACCAAAGCCCAAATCGTATTGTTATCATTTGTACATGTTGAGACTTTGTCGTCTGCTCTATGTTCTGTGATAACTTCTCACTTTGGTGGATGGTGCATATTTCAAGGTTTGTGTGAGCTGCAAGAGGAACCACTGCTTGTTAGCTTTGTCACTTTCTGGTGCACATTTAAAGGGGAATTCCACCGTTATTATTTTTGTCATTTCTGCCTAATTCAGTCTTTGAGATGTAAGCATTCTGGTTTGAGGCAAAATGGATCACTGTTGAGGAACGTACTGACTCAGATTTCTTTACAGTGGTGGTGATAGGAACCAGGGGTCACCGTGTCTACAACACAAATATAGACATTTTACTTACTGTCCAAAACACATGCCTTCTGAGTTTCTATATGGAATGTTGTTGGTAAAATAGTCAAAAATAATTTTCTTTTGACAATGTGTTCCCTCAGAACACCCTCCGTTATAAATGGATAAAAAAAAAAAACGCTTCCTGAAACTGTCATAGAACAGTGTCTCAGTGAATTCATAACCATTTAGTGTAGTAAATTTCTGCGAGGGAGCTTTTAGAGGTGGACATCTGGTTCCTGTCACCACCACTGTGAACAGTTCTGACTATTAAAGTTTCACATCAGACTGTGTTTATATATTAAGCGTTTATTTCATTAGAAATTTTGAAAAATATCTGGAATTCCCCTTCACTTAGACTGAAGTGTAGCTGTTTCCAGGTTATAGACATAAGAAAGACTTGTACTTAGAAACTTCTTACATGTAAATTCGCCCCCATATTCCACCTGTCACATATATAATAACAGTTTCTACTACATAGCAGCAGTATTTTCATATTTTAATTAGACAGTTGTGGGCTGGACTTTGAATTTGGTCAGAATTTTGACTTACTTTTTACTCAAGTAAAGTACTTGTATACTTCTTACATTGCTTGTCGGAAGAAAACCTCGTATCTCCATTTATGATGTTTTTCAGTTTTTGACCTAATTTGAAAATACCGGTTACCCTTTACATTGTGTGTAAATTTCATGATAAATGGACTTAAAGAAACGACCCAAAATGACTTGGAAAAAAGTCTGGTTCCATTGACTTCCATTAAGAGTAAAGTAGGTTTTTTCCTTCTCCTGTAAAGTTACCATTTTGGAGATTGGAGGTTTTCTTCCGACAACATCGATATATATATATATATATATATATATATATATATATATATATATATATATATATATATATACAATATTATAATATTATATATTCTTACATTATCTTATTATATAATACAATATTATTAGATTATATATTATGTATTATATTCAATATTACCAATTTCGTCTTATATATTATATTACAGCACTGTGTACCATTTATTTAAACCCCGGTCAAAGTTATTCATGTTTCAGTGCCCAAGCAAAGCAAAAAAACATATTTAGCAGCAAAGTACACAGAAGCCTTCAAAGTTCAGTCTTTGAAGTTGGTTTAGTATGTTCTGCTTCCCAAGAAATCCAAAACACATTCAGTGATGTTGAGGTCTGGACTCTCCGTTGTTCTAAGAACACCAGCGGCTTCTTTGTTCGATTTGCAAATGTTGTTCTGTTGTGTCTGTTTCCTTTTCTCAGTCAGGGCTTCTTGACAGCTTTTGGTTTTGCATGTGGTTGTCAGGGGTCCCAGTTTCTCTGAAGCTTTTAATCATTTTTTGGGGAGGTTTTTTTTTCCACTTATGATCATCTTATGATCATTTTGACTGGAAATTAAATATATATAGGGGGGTCTCTGACTTTTGCATAGTGCTGTGTAATGAGATATTGACTAATTTGTGCGTCTGTAATGCAGAAGCAGTAACCTGTAATCGGTAAAGAAAAAACAGTGTGTACCATATGCACACATACACACTCAAAAACAAGAGCATTCTGATTTCCTCTGTGTGTGTGGTGTGTGTTTCAGAGGCCTCTCAGGAAGCTGACGAAACACACTCAAAGCAAACTGTGAAAACACCCAGCGAAGCTTTGCTGCCAGTTTAACTCACTAATGATTACGTGCAACTACTTTGGGAAAGACCTGCTGCTTCCTACACAGGGCTGCAGTTCACAGCAGTTAACGCACATACTTCATATGACCGTTTCTGACCATATGACTCATGTATACTATTGCGCTGTTTGTGTAAAAGCAGCACTGACGTGATGGAGTATTGGACAGTTCATAGAGGGCTGAGTTGCCAGTTACTTCCACCTATCTTGTACCTACGTCTAATAGAAACACCTTCCGTGTGGGTGCACTTTGTAGGTTTATTAGCTCATCTGTTCACCCCACACCCATCTAGCAATGGAAGGGGATGCCCGAAGGAGAGCTGACCAGATGTTATTTGGGTAGTGGACCGTTCTCAGTACGGCATGGCTACTGACCAATCATTAAAGGAATGATTTGGCAAAAAAATCTAATTTAAACAATTATCCCAATAGATCCCATGTGTCAAACACGAGGCCCGCGGGCCAAGTCAGGCCTGTGACATGGTCCTTTCGGCCCCTTTCGATGCACT